ATGTATGTATGTATGTATGTATGTATGTATGTATGTATGTATGTATGTATGTATGTATGTATGCATTTGTATGTATTGTGTGTGTTCGAAGACGAGTGAACTTTGTTACCCGCTTTCTGCTGAGCTACCGGAAAACCAAGTTTCTTTCAATCATTTCAGATTTTTAATGTTTTCAGTCATGTTTATTGTTAAAATTTGAGAGCTCTCCTTTTTCTTTTATCATTGCTTCGTTCAAAATAAGCCGAAAAGCTTTCGCACTTTATGTAACGCAAATACATTTATTCTTCAGACAAGTTGTGGCGTTAAATTTACGTTTTCTGTTTGGATAAGAATAGACCGCTCACTTGTTCAGTGCTTCAGCAAATGTACTATTAAAACTTTATTTGTACAGGGATATAACAAGAGACAGTTGCAAAAATATACATACTCGCTGCTTCATCAATGTAACTATGTTCGTTGAGTTACCGAAAGTCGCGCCTGAAAAATTAGGCTAAGATACTTTGCTTTCATAGTACTTTAATTACTGAGCGAAATTTTATAGCAAGCATCCGTCTTTTCGGCTGACATTGAAGACTCATTAATACCTGCTCATCGAACCTTCATTCATTCTTCACACCATTTAAGATTTAGAGGGGGAGGGGGATTAGCAGTAGGATTACGAGATCTTGGGATAGTGGAAATCGCCGCGCGAACTTTTTTTTTTTCAAATATTATATGTATTCAAAAAATACCATGATTGTCTGGGGTATTCCATTTTAGCAATGTTAGTGAGATGTTTCTACATGCAGAAATTCTAGGACCTTCGACCTTGGTCTGCATACCTCCAGTTATTACCCACCGCCTCTTCTTAAAGTGGTAGATTTAGGTTTATATTTAAAATTCATTTCCGAAAAAAGCAAGTTCCCCAGCCTGTCCCATGTAATAGTAAAAACAAACCAGTCGTTTTCTTTTTTGATAATCGGATTATAGCATCTTGCAAAAGTCTTGTTCATTCTCCGGAAAAACATTTCAATTTGCTGAAAAATTTTTGTATTTTGAGATCTGTTTAAAAAATATAAAATTATTGATATAGAAATGTATGTAGACGCCTCATACAACTGTACACAGCGATTTTTTAATCCTTAAAATTTATCAGCTTCTCTAATTCATAAAGTCTCAGTGAGTGATAAAAAATGAAAAAGCAGCGTGTGCTGAAATACAATAAGATCGGTCTGGAACACACTAACCTCTTGCTTTGGACTACTCGCTTTCTCGATATTTTCCCGATAAAAATCTTTGATTTTGTCAGTTAGCTTAAGCCTTCGTAATTTTTCCATAGCCCTGCAAAACAGATGTAGAGCAATTTGAATATACCAGACATCTGACTAGAAAACTGGTAGTATTTACAGTAAGTTTTGCCAGTACCACTCATTTTTGCTCCCAGAAATATATGAGTTGTGCCATGATTGATTCGGCCAGAAACGAAGAAAGACTAAGCGAGTGCTAGCACAAACTGAAGTAAGCTTCATCCGGCTTCTCCCGGAGCAAGCTAATCTGTCCAATTAGCCGAGGACGAGTGGAGAATTATACTTGGGTAGATTTTGTAATAACTGGCGAGCTTCTTCTGTTAAATTCTGGCCATTGGTCAGCGTTTACCAGAAGGAGAACAAATTTTTCGCGACAGGTTAGTTGTGCAGGCGTACAGAGTAGACCTGATGAGTTGGGCTGTGTTCATTTTGCGCTTGAGCAGGAGCCCTGGATAGTTATTCTTAGACATTCGTACAGGTTACTTTGCTAGTCTACGTCAGACTATAGTACGAGAGAGCGCTTCATTTTTAAATTTGATTAAGTTGCCCTCTTCCTCTCCTTTTTTCCAAAATGTATTAATTTATTACTAAATAAAAATTTATGTGAGGACTTTACAATGTAATTAAGAATTAGAAATCAGACTTTATGATTATATATTAGATATAATTAAATATGTATTAAATATATTAAAAACTATGAATGTCATAGTTGATGAATCAGCTAAACAGGAATGGTTCAGTCCATTAGGTCGTATACATTCCTATTTCATCCCACAGCTGGACCTCATCAGTATGATAGTTGCGGCAATGTCTATCTACTTGTAACAACTCTCATTCATGGTAAATGCTTCCAGAATTAAATTCACAAATAAAAATTAGCCTTGGGAGTTAACCTTCTTTGCGCCTGACTAAGGCCACGCGTGATTTCCTTGAGAGCCTCGGGCACGTCGTTTGCATTTGTCCATTTATCATACTCTATGTACAGGTCCGGATCATCGTCCAGTTTATCCTTGATTAAATCAGTAATCATTATGAGATCATCGTCATCACTGGCTCGCTGCAGCTCCTGCAGCTCATCGACGTTGCATCGGTCCAGCAGTGCCCGAACACATGTCGGCTCATTCGCATAACATTCATATTTTTCAGTGCTTTTGCTGAAAATTTGATTACTTTCTAGAGATTGTTTGAGTGGATGAGTACCACTAGCTGCCGCCCGAGAATACGGTCGCGGTCCTTGAATTACGTTTTCTCCTTATGGGAGGAGGGATATTACGCGGCACTCATTCTAAGTTTGGGATCCACTGGCTGTATTACAACAGCAGTAGCTGATACGCTTGGGGAACGACTTTTTTTTCAGAGAATGGCCGTAGAGTTGTCCACTATTGACACCAGTTATCGATTTTAAGTTGCCGAACTGCGAAGACAGTGAAGTAGCTGCTGGATTCAGATATCAAACTTCTCTACAGAAATAATGGGAGTAAAGCAGGAAAGAAGATAAACCTAGTAATGTTGCACAAGGACCAAAAATAATGATTTTCAGGGATTCTGAAAAAGTGAAAATAGAGACTGACTTGAAAAGCCTCCTAATCAAGTTCCACAGCCATATGAGAACATTTTGTTGTGCTTCTTCCTCGGCCCGTTTCTCGTTGTAATACTCCAGAATTGCATACTGGTCTATCTGTGGTAATTCCTGTTCCACTTTCGTATTCCACAATGCCCGAATAATACTATAAATCGATGCGTTCTAAAAATACTTTGATAACAACTCAATAAGCTGTCAAACACAGAAGATTGTTTATCAGTGTACTTGTATATCTTTGTTAGTTTATCTCTTCATAAACCTGTGCATAGTACGTATCTCGAACTCAGTGACCCAAAAAAGTGGCTCTCTGGTTGTCCTGCACCGCTGGGCCGGTGTGGAAATGTGCCATGAGAGCCTTATATACTACCCCTGTTAAAATTTTATAACAAGTATTGGGGCATGTTATGGGCCGGTAGTTCTGGGGATTTGCTCTTTTGCCGGACTTATAGAGCACAACTGCCCGGCCCCTACAAAACCAAGGCTCGGGAACCTGGGTGGTGTCTAGCATTTGGATGATATATTCCCGCAGCCGGGCTCCCGCTGAGAGTAACTTCTTCCACCAGAAAGGCTGAATCCCATCGGGACCCTGGGCTTTCCAGGGTTTTGCACGTTGATAATCCAGTCAAACGAGCTCCTCAGCAGGTCCGAATCTACACCCTCCCTGGCCGGGTACGCGCGTTGCATTTTCTCCCTCCACTGATTGAGCGCCGGGACGCGTCCAGGACCGGAGGCGAACTTTTTTCTGACTAAGTTGTTCCAAAAATTATAGACGTCTTTCATCGTTGGGGTCGCTTCATTGACCCAATGGTCTCTGCGTTGCTGCAGCAGCCTCAGGTTTCCTTGTGTTGCAAACTGTTTCCGAAGGGATTTACGTTTTGACTTTTTTTAGTTGAATCCTAGCCCAAAAGTGGTAAAAACTGCGAACTGCTAAATTCAGTAAGGCGAAAATTAGCTAAAAAGGTCGACAAGCGTGTGTCTGTGTTGCGCTGAGATAAAAGTGCAAACTAACATCATTATCTGTTACACAGTATGAATATAAGAGTATATACGTGTTTTTGTGTGTATGTATGTTTGTGTATGGTATGTGCGTGCCTGTGTTTGTGTACTGTATGTGTCTGTTTGTTTGCATATGTGTTTGCATGTATGTGTGTGTGTTTGTTTGTGTATTTCTGTTTGTTTTGTATACGAATATGTGTTCAAAAATGAAGAATATGGTTTGTATTTGAACATCTGCATAGATTTAGCGCCATCACGCAAGAATGTTCAAGTCTTAAGAAAATGGAAATATAAAAATTAAGATTTATTAACACTTACGTGATATGCTTGGGCATATTCGAATTGCTCTTGAGTGAAATTCAGTGGCACAGATGGCGCTTCAAGGAAGGCATCAGTCTCGAAATCTTCTGCAGTTTCCTTTGCTGCACTGCTTCCTATTGGCTTGTTGCTGACTTGGAGGAACTGTAATTTTGAAGCTCTAAGTTTTTCTCTTTTTTTTGCATTTTTGCTTTGTAGTACTGTCGTACTTCCAATACTTTTATGCATGCTCTAGCGAGTAAGCTTTTAAATCAGTTTTTGCATGTGTGTGTGTGTGTCTTTTATGAAAGCAAAATTTACTTCGGCTTTCTTCTGATCGATCAGTTCTTTGAGAGAAGCGTAATTCTTCTCGCGCAGGTACCTCTCCAGCAGCTCATTCTCTGTGTTGCTCAAATTAATCAGTAAGTAGACGACGGGACTTAGCGTGATGCTATGGCTGTTGCTGCCGCTTGTAGTTATGTTAGCATTACTTATCTCTTCCAGAAAAGTACTTTCCACAGGCGATGCTTCGGTCGCTAAAAAATTTCAGCATTGTAATTGATCGAAATCAAATTTTTGCAAAAAAAAATTTATTTTTCAAAATCGGCAAGCTATATTCCACTGCATATGTCGTTCCTTCGTGTAAACCGAAACATTTCTTTTCAGTTTCTGAAAAATTTTTCTATATTTTCTTTTACACTACTCTGCTTCTTTCCTTTTTCCAGTCATAATTTTTTGAAAAAAATTAATGCATTATGCATAACCTGATATGTCGCTCAGTAATTTTTTATCCCTCAGTGTAAAGAGAAGCAATGGAGCAATCGAATAGCAAGAAACCTAGTTGCTTTCGTTCGATATAGCTGGGCCATTGGTTCTGGGGAGCGAAGCTTTTTCTCTATTGTTTGGGGTTGTAAAATAAGTTACATGATGATTTAGTATTCTGTGCATTTTTTATTTTTCCAGTTAATTCTGAGTATCTTCACTTAAAGTCCTCACTAGGAGTAAAAAGTCGTTCTCGCTCTGACTCATTTCAAAATCATTTTTGTATTAGGGTGTTTTTGACCTACATAAGTACACAAAATTTTCCTTTCTTTTTCCTTAAACACTTCAAAACATTCATGGGCACATATCCAAAGAATCATGATTGCGATGGAAAGCTGACATCTTTTAGGAAAAAAAAATCTCCACTCGTTAGGTTTTTTTTTTTTTTGGAAAAGTACAGGTTCTTTTTTTTCGAAAATTCGAATTTCGAATCCATTATGTTTGATTGACCGACAATTACTACCGTTTGCTCGCTGTTTTCAGGCAGTAAACCAGTGTTTTCATCTATTTTTTTGTCATAAATAATATTTGCTCATTACCGTTGTCTAGTAAAATTACAAGGAAGGAAATGCAAAATTATCCTGAAGTAAGTGAAATTTCATGATCTAATGACTCAATTCTTGGTTTACTGTTTATCGCGAAACTTATTACAGTTGACAGTACTGCAAATTAAGCCTAGATTTAGTACAATAACCGGAACTTCGTGTGATCTTTTAGCATCATCTAAATCTGTCTCTTCCATGTTTCACTTTTGTTATATTTCATATCCTACAACGGAAGTGGAACAGTTAACAGTACTTGAAAGTGGACCATAAGTCGGAGTCCTAAATTTAAAAAGAATTTTGAAAGTTAGTCCTAAATTTTGAAAAAATTTAAGATTCGGTTTGCGGGTCGAGTTCC